CGGGCACCCACGATGGTGCAGGGCTGGGCAGGGTACTTCGGCTGGTTTTTTAAATTAATATGAAACGGTTATATTCCCAAGGTTACATACCGTTGCCTTACAGTAGTTTAAGGTGGGGATACCCGATTCAATGTTTTGGCTTTATAGCTCTATAAAATTTAATATTTTTCAAAAGTTTAGGTGCTACGTTATGAACTTATTTTGAGTTTAAACGTTGTACGTTATAAACAAGAAGCGGTGAAAAAATAGTTTTTTTTAAGCCTATCCCTATCTTAATTTTCCGTGACAACTGCAGACAGTACACCAAAGGCAACTAGGGAAGTTAATATTTTTTCGTTATAAAATATAATATAATAATGTACAACAACGCTCATAATTTACTGGAAATATCCTAGGAAAACTTCGAACATCGAAATGCCGATAATTTCTGGAAGCTTAAATAGAGTTTCGTTTTTAGCAAATATTAGAAATATGGATACCGGCCTTTCAAAAAAACAACCCATGTGGGAAGAAAAAAAAACAAAAACAAAAAAACAACAACAACAAAAACACTGCATTGAGTATCACAACGTTCTAGTACGAAGCCTAACCGCAGGTGTTTGGCGTTGCAGTGCTGGACTCCCCTGCGTCGCCGTCGCCCGCTGTGGAGGTGGAGCCCACGACGCTGGTGCGCGGCGAATTCCGACTGCAGCCTCCGCCACTCCACGCGCGGCCGCGATCGCGGCCACACCACCCGCCGGCGCGCGGCGGCTCAGCTGCGGCCACGGGCGCCGAAGACGAGGTCACGAGCGCACCTGCGCACGCGCTTTTCGTTCAGCTCCTTCCTTCGCCCCTTTGCTTGCACTTCTTCTCTTCGTTTCGTTCTACTCATCCATTCGTTGACATATTTAATTTCTCTCTACTCATTCATTCGTTGACATATTTAATTTCTCTCTACTCATCCATTCGTCGACATATTTGATTTCTCTCTACTCATCCATTCGTCGACATATTTAATTTCTCTCTACTCATCCATTCGTCGACATATTTAATTTCTCTCTACTCATCCATTCGTTGACATATTTAATTTCTCTCTACTCATCCATTCGTCGACATATTTAAATTCTCTCTACTCATCCATTCGTTGACGTATTTAATTTCTCTCTACTCATTCATTCGTTGACATATTTAATTTCTCTCTACTCATTCATTGGTTGACATATTTGGTTTCACTTCACTTATTGACACGTTCTGCTAATTACTTAATTTCTTATGTTTATTGGGTTCAATCGATCTCTTCTTGAAATATATTATAAATCTCCGTATTAGCGAACTTTCGAGAATTGCACAATACGATTTGGGGCGTATGTAGGGAGTGAAAAAAGTTGTTAATATTTGCACAAATGAGATTAAAGAAGAAAATGGACAAATAAACCACATATACTCTAGTTCTTTGTTATATTGCGAGAAAATTATTGGATTTGTTACTAAAATGTAAATACTTCTCGTTCATTTAACGAACAAAATGTACTTCCATTCCTAGTTACTTACATTTTCGTCAACATTAGGAAATCATTGCTCTGAAGTAATCTTGAATGCCTCTAAAATAATTGGCGCGTGTTGCATAGAGTAAAGGAGTTTGTGTTCGCGTCTGTGCCAAACTAACTTCTGCTTCAATAAGAAACACTTGAGACTTCTTCGCCACTCCTTAATCCCTTCACAATATTTTTTGTCGAAGGGTATCATTAGTTCCTAAAAACGCATTATTTGCGCGTAGTCTCATGTGACGGTGTCGGCAGGCGGCGGAGGAAGAGGAGGAGGAGGCGGCGGCGCTGTCGGCGGCGGCGGTGGCGGCGCTGCTGTCGCGCGTCTTCCGCAACTTCCCGCGCTTCGCGGCCGCCGCCGCCACCGTGCAGCTGGCGGGCGACGGCGCGGGCGACGGCGTGGGCGCGGGCGCGGGCGAGGGGGCGGAGGCCGAGGGCGTGGTGCGCTGCGAGCTCACTTTCCGCGCCCCTGCCGGTGCCGCCCTCGCCCCGCGCGTCGGCCTGCACTTCCTAGGTGAGTGCGGAAGTTCATTAGTAGGGTTAGCGGATTTTGACGACCTGCACGTAAAACACTGCCAAAAATGATCAATAAAATGCGCTTAAAAATGTTTTGAAAATGCCTTAAAACCAAAGAAAAATAACGTAAAAGGTTTGAAAAAACTGTTGGGATAAACAACTCAAGCTGATGCATGTGTTGCTGATGTAATCGAATCTTCTTGCATTACTTCAAGTGAACTCATCGTGCAAAATTTTCGTTTGACTGTTCTTTACCAGGAAGTCTCTATCTTTAGTCGCGAAATCGGCCGAACAGACCATAATAGGCGTCACAGAAACCTTAGATTACATATTGACCACGGCTAACATTACAATTTCTGAGCGAAGAAATCGAATATGCTATTTGAATATGTGCCTAGGTTCGTTAATGTATGTTGTAGTGGACATTTATCCTGAGAGACACAGGTCAGACGGTTGCTGGACATTTCTTTTATTTAGATACACCCTATCTTTGTATTTAAAAAATAGTCAATCTTCGAACTTACAACGCTTTCCATCTTCGCTTCGGCATCTATAACCTCTTGATGTAAGGTTATCCTTGCAATGTGAATTAATTGAAACGGTTTTGTAGTTTGTCTTGAAAATGACGTAATGAAAAAATGACAGCAAATAGGTGTTCGTTCTATTAATTGAATATATTATTAAAAGTTAGTATTTGAGGTGTAAAACCTGTTAGTAACAGCAAGTGAAAACACGAATTGAGTCCACAACCTCTCATTTAATGCATAAATCCAGCAATGTGGTTGAGTAGAAAGCTGAAAATGCTTTCTAAAAGCAGCCGCAGAGTGCCCTAAATGTGTTCTTCTACAATGTGGCCATCCACAATGCAAACATAAACATAAGCATGGCGTTAACATAAAAGTTAGTACTATGTCCATAAGCGGACTCACTCACAATGCGCGCATAAGCATAGCACGCAAGACGTTCACTTAAAAGCTAGCAAGCTTCAAGCTTCTGTTTTTATGCTTAAATAAGATAAGAAATGTACTAATCAGAGTACGTTAACTGGAAATCGAGAATCGAAAGAGGAGTTAAGTCGATAGACGACCTAACGCTAAATGGGCCATGGACACAGTCGATACCTTGAAATCGATTCTCACATCCAACCAATAGTCAACCAGAATGTCTCACAGCCAATAGAAATTGTTATTTTGCTTACGTTTATGTTGGACACTGTGAATACTTCATTCTATCACTTATGTTAATGTTTATGTCTATGCGCTATGCATATGTTTACGTTTGCGTTGTGAATGGGCCTTAGGTGTTTGTTTACGGGGGCGTGTGCGTGTGCAGGTGCGCTGCGAGCGCGCGCGGGCCGCCTGTGGCTGCTGGGGCGGCTGCCCGTGGACCCGCGCTCCGTCGCCTTCGAGGAGGTGGGCGACGGCCTCTTCGCCGCCGGCGACGCCTCCCAGGTACGCTTCCGCCCCGCACTTCCAAATTCTCTCTCCCGACGGATTCGCACTTCAGTGTTTGTTCTGCAATAATAGAAGGTAGTGTCCTTGTACAAGGGCGTGGAGCAGAAAAGTGTTAAGCATAACTATTTTTGAGACGGAAAAAATGTTTTTGTTAGTCAGACGTCTCTAATGTCCTCGTATCCATTTTGAATTTTATTGTTGGATTCATATTGAATACATTCAAGGGTCGCACGCCTTCGCATATTATCCTTGGAGTAATTTCCACTTTTGTTTTTGCAAAATATAGTATTTTTTCAAAAAAGTATGGGAGAGGGAACTATCTTTGTCCCACCCCATCTTCTATCTACCTCTGTGAAAAAATAAAAAAAAGGATGGAATAGATTTCACTGCGACTATGGCATCGCGTCATAACAAATATTGCTAATGGCAGACACGCGTTAGTATTTACTAGTGCTAATGGTGCTCAAGATTTCACTCGGGTGCAACCAAAGGCACAATACTTTCTCCTCTTTTCTCCTTCTTTTTCTCCTTCTTTTTTCTTCTTTTTCCTCCTTCTTTTTCTCCTTCTTTTCTCTTCTTTTCTCTTCTTTCTCCTTCTTCTCTCTTTTCTCCTTCTTTTCTCCTTTTTTCTCTTCTTTTCTCCTTCTTTTTTCTCCTTCTTTCTCCTTCTTTTCTCCTTCTTTTCTCTTCTTTTCTCCTTCCTTTCTTCTCCTTTTTTCTTCCTTTCTACTCTTTTCCTTCCTTTCTTCTTCCTTTTCTCCTTCCTTTCTCTCTTTCTCTTCTTTCCTTCACTTTTCTCCTTCCTTTTCTCTTCTTTTCTTTTCCTTTTTTCTTCCTTTCTTCTTTTTCTTTTCCTTTCTTCTACGTCTTTTTTCTTCTTTCCGCTTTTCTCTTCTTTCCTCCTTTTCTTCTTCTTTTTCCTTCCATTCTTCTTCTTCTTTCTCCTCTTCTGCCTTCTTTCTCTTTCTTCTTCTCTTTCTTCTTCTTTTCTTCTTCTTTCTCTTCCTTCTTTTTTTCTTCTTCCTTTTCTCTCTTCTACTTTTCTTACTTTCTTTCTCGCGCTTTTCTTCTTCTTTTCTCCTTTTCTTCTTCTTTTCTCCTTTTCTTCTTCTTTTCTCCTTCTTTTCTCCTTCTTTTCTTCTTCTTTTCTTCTTCTTTTCTTCTTCTTTTCTTCTTCCTTTTCTCCTTCTTTTCTTCTTCCTTTTCTCCTTCTTTTCTTCTTCCTTTTCTCCTTCTTCCTTTTTTTCTTCCTTTTCTTCTTCTTCCTTTTTTTCTTCCTTTTCTCTTCCTTTTCTTCTTCTTCCTTTTTTTCTTCCTTTTCTTCTTCTTCCTTTTTTTCTTCTTCTTCCTTTTTTTCTTCTTCTTCCTTTTTTTCTTCTTCTTCTCTCCATTTCTTTAGCATTGAAGCATTACTAGAGTTAACTTTTGCTAGGTATTCCGAACTTTGCTTTTACCATACAGACTGGATATCTTAATTCTGTTGTATTATTAAACAGACAATGAAATCATGCGTGGTACAAGCTCATTGCTACGGGTTCCCAAAGCATGTGGCCCGCCAGAATATGAATATAAAGTAAACAGCGTATCAGTTGTTCCCACGTAATTTCTCATTATAAAGAACAAAGTTACACAAACAAGGAATTTACCAAAAAGTAATTCCAAGAACAAGGGATTTCCAAAAAAAAAAAAATCCAGTACATGGAAAAGTGTTAGTGAAGAGGTACAAAATATCTTGAGTGTTGAGCTTCTAACGCTCTCTCCTCCGCCAGCCCTACACAGCGGAAGCGGAATCGTCGACGTCGACGGAAGCGACGACGACGACGACGACGGCAGCGGCAGCGGCGGCGCCCATGGCCCCGCCGCCCGACGCCGCGTGGGGGGCGTGGTCCGCGTGGGGGCCCTGCGGCGCCGGCGGCACCCAGCGCCGCTCGCGCCCGTGCCTGGCGGGCGCCCGCGGCGAGCCGCTGGCCGACAGCGAGCCTTGCCTGCTGCTGCCCGGTGAGTCCGCCCTTTGCCTCCCTAGGGCGGCGTCCACGCCACCCTTTTTTCTGTGCTAGTTAGCGTTGGGCGAAAGCAAAGGCGCACGCCTTAAGGCAATACTTGGAATAGATAAATGATTTAATGTATAATGAAGGGATGGTATCAATGATGACGGAGTGGTAGTTGAATGAGACAGAAGTCGAGGAAACTTATCGAGAAACTACATGGTCCACCACAACGTTCATGGATCGACCGAAAATTGAAATCTAGTACCAGTACAAAGCAGAGTAATTATCATATCGCTGATGTCGGCGAGATTACGATGTTATGCAATTTCCCAGTCGAAATTGCATGAAATGTGCAATGGATTAATTACACGAAGAATGTGCCCATGTGCGATGTATCATCGTATTATCAAGGATTAGGCCGTATGCTTGTTGCAAAGACCTATTAATTTCGTTACCCTTGTTTTGAAATACCCTTGAGTACTGTGCGACGGGAGGCAGATCTGCCGCTACAATTCTATGTGGTAGCGAAGTAAGTAACTCGGAGCACGAAGGGCCGATTACAATTTTGCTCTGAGGTGCCATTTTTTCTTGAGATACTTTCACGCACTGTACATATGCGATATAAGAAAGTTAAAATAATATTTGACTAAAATAAAGGAAAAAGCCCTTCATATAAGTATATTTTTATTTATAGTCAAAAAACTGTATATGGCATATGAGGGAGGAGGGAATTGTAATCTGAATATTCAAGAAACACTTCTATCCATTTATTTGTAAATAGAAATGTTAAAACAAAGGGTGAAGAAAAAAAATCAAGGCAATTTATTTTTTAAACAATTTTTTTCTCAATATTCGCTTTATTTTTTCAATATTCCCATGTGTATTAAGGGATGGTAAAATGTATAGTGCATCTCTCATTTTCGACAAATACTCCGTTTTTTCGAAAATTGCAAAAAATCAACATTTTAAAACTACAAAATTGTGAAGATAAGGATTTTTGCCTTATACGGCTTGTTGTACGGTCCGAATGGCCGAGATCGTTGCAGTGGTGCCGAAGCTATCTCGTGCCGAAGCGATCTCGTACCGAAGGATCGTGGGTTCGAGTCCCGCCTCAGTCATGGCTGTATTTGTGTTCGTCCCTTCATCCTCCATCGTCATGAAATCTTCAACTACCATACCGTTAAATACAATAGTAGTTTCTAATGACCTAGATGATGATGCAATCTTAAATGCAAAATGAAGTCTACTCCAAAAACTCAGCTCTTTAAAAAAGGTCATATATAATTACTTGCAAAAAAAAGAGTAGTTTTGCGTGACTTGTGCTTGAAATTTATGCAATTTCTAAAAATGTTTTCAAAAACCGCTCTACATTTTTCTTCAATTATTTCTTGCGGATAGAAGAGAAGTTTAAAATAATGTCACGAGACTATTTTTCGTTTATGTCTCCAATTTTCGAAAATTGCAAATTTAGAAAAAATGCGAGAAGGTATGTGATGTTGTTGCTCTACTAGTTAAATATGTAGGCCATATTTTTTAGAGTAGTATGGACTAATAAATGGAAGGAAACACGTGACCTCTGCCGTTAGCCTCAACTGCAGGGAAACGGATCAATTGAGTAATTGGGGGCGTAATGCAGATTAAAACCGATTCAATGGAAAAAAGGTTGGAAAAGGTCGTCAACGGAAAACAATTGTTTGCCACAGTAGACGCGGAACAATTTCATTAAAATTGTGTTAAACTTCTATGAAATTCAGAGAGTGAAGCGCACACATGATTTACTAGCGTGTGTCGACTGATGATCAACTAAACTGCAGATTAAAGAAAGATGTTCGTAATTTCTTGTTCGAAATCCACAATTAAACGAATTCATGTACAAGCTTTCAACAGATGGCATTGCAATTTGCATTACACAATCTTATTTCCTGTGCATTGCAGTACGTCAATAAACATTATTTTTGTGTTTTTTTTATCAAAATGCAAAGTGAATCGGTGTGAACCATAAGAATCTCAATACAAAAGTATTTTGTCCACACTTGTAAGTAAGAAGAATTCGAAAGGCGATGACGATGTTGATACGAAATGGGTTAGTGTTGGGATGAAAAGCGAGGGAAACGAGAGAACGTGCATAAAATCAACCGTGAACTAGCTTTTTCCACAACTTCCCGTGAATGAGATGGTCTGTGATCCAATCAAATTTCTTGAGGATGGGAAGCTGATTAGCTAACGCATTTTAAAAAGACATGGCTGAGCTGGCCCGGCGAACCGATATTTGCTAGTTCTGCACAGTACCAGATATTCATACCACACGAACCACGTGACCATAACACGGGCACTTGGTTTGAAAAGCCAGGCCAGACGCTGACCACCATGCAACATGGCAAGCGTGAAGTGTTGAGAAACATTTTGAAAGGGACATTAGGCGACCAATGTCAATGGTGACCTCCCAAACATGACACGAAGGTGTAATATATTTTTTAAAAAATATCATATATCTGTTTCAATGACTTGTAACAGGGTGGTGATTTCGGTATCTAACTGCATTTAACATTCCCGCCAATATTGCGACGCAATCTAGTGCGTGGAAGCGCAGTGGTTGAAGCCGAATGGGCTGCGCTTCGTAGCTCACCCGTGTGTGGCCACCCGCGGGAGTGACGCGGTGCGCTGGCTGTGCTGCAGGCGGAGGCGGCGACCTGGAGGTGCGTGACTGCCGGCGCCGCGACGCCGCGGGCGTGACCGTCGACGCGCTGCTGGGCGGCGTGACGCGCATGCAGCGGCTGCGGGAGCGCCCGCCCCCGCCCCCGCTCTCGCCCCCGCGGACGACTTGGCGCCCCTGGCTCCGCCCGCGCTCGGTGAGTACCTCTGGCCGAGAGTCAAAGGACAGCGTCAGCAGAAACAATGACAGGATGTAAACTGGGGGCCAAATCATCCCTTAATCTTTTCTCGCAAAACTTACTTTCTAACTCTACTTGCAAATTGGGGACCAAACCAATCCAGGCAAGGAAAAGGACCGATTGAGCGGGTAAGTGCGTTAAGGGAGCCGCCGTAGCACTGCTGTCCAGCTTTTCCTCGTGCCTTATTGCAAATCTTCGACTCGTTCCTATATCAAAATTAAAAGCAAAGATAGCACAAGAATTCACATTCACCGTTGTAGAATACGAGTTGAGAAAAAGGGAGAATATAAAAATGGCAAGATAAGCAGAATTTCCTTTGTAAAATATACTGCACAACTATGCAAGAAACAAAAACTTCATGCATCTCCTATGTAATTGACAAAGGCGTAATTCAGCAGGATTTGAAAAGACTAGTAATTAATATTGGTACTAGTACAACAAAATGACCCTTCATTCAATCATTGAATGATAAATTTAATGATCAAAATTACAATTGGTGAACATTTAATGATCAAAATTACAATTGGTGAACATTTAATGAACAACATTACAATTTGAAAAAAATCGGTTTTATATTTTCACTTCACTTAAATTTACGGTGAGAGATAAGAGGGGTAAGGGAATTGCTGGCCCTGAGCACAACACACTAAACTAGTATTATAACTACTAATTTTACTATATTGAGCTGGGGAAACTTAGATAAGTAGACCAATGTATATGTAAGAAGGAAGACTTTCTACATCCGCGCAGGGTTTTTTTGAGCCCTCATTTCGCTAGATGAGAGAGGAGTGGAGGGGGGATGGTTATATAGAGGCCAGGACTTTATGAAATCCATAGTTAATTTTTAAATACAAAATACTTTTTATTATATGAGAGCGAATGTTACTGATTACCAGGTTTTGTCAACAACGCTTCATGCTATCTTTTATTCCTAATTCTCTAAATGTTGACAAAGGAGTGGTAGAAGGGATTCCAGGCTCAAGAAAACTTAAGCGCGTAATAAATGTGGGGATTGTGAAAAAGGTTAGTCTTCATCTCTGAGCACTATTTACGCCATTAGTAAATAGAAAGGAGAGTTAAGAACTTTAGTGACATTCCTGAAACAAATACTAATTTTGAAATGTAGTGACGTGGGTTGTAAAAGAGGTTATTTCAATATTATGGTCGATTTGTAGTAGATATTGCGAATCATTTTATTTTAGTTGAAGTATGTCTAAAAATTAGACTCGGTGACTTAGAACAAAGAATCACACTTGCTCATCTTTTAACAAAATGAGCTCTGGACTCCATGTTGTCCCTCCTGTCTACATGGCGGTAACATATACCAAAATAATAGCATACACTTCACACGTTTGTATTATACGCGCACGTTTTCTTGAGCCCTGGCCGATCTGCTCCCATTCCATTACTAATACAAGTTGAATTCACAATTATTGATTGAGTAGTAATTCCAGGCGCGTAAACTACTAAGGTCATTAGTTTTCGTAAATGAAGCGCGTGTTTTGGTGAGATCACGTGTCGACCTACCGTCAGGGTTTTCCCCAACCAGGTATCTCCCTCCAGCGAGACATTGCTCTTGCCGGGACAAGCTCTAAGCTGCCGACATGTCAGGTAGTGTAGTGCAAGTAAGTGTAGGTAAGGAGTGATGATAGGACAAGCAAGAGGAAGGAAAGATCGTGCGCGCACCGTGCCCGTTTGTTAAGTTACAGCTCCGGTATTCACCTGATGTTAATCGGAAAAAAACACGGAAAACTACCGATCAGAGCAGCCAGCCGCTAGAATTCTCCTCCAGACATCGACTGAATTGACCTAACTATCTAGCTAGTATCGAAAATCCTGCCACCGTCGGGACTCGAACCTCGGACCTCTCGGTCAGAGGCTTTGCAGCATCAGTTGATGCTTTGAGCCATATTTCCCTGTAATTGAGGATCAATTATACCAAGGAGCGTTGTTGACATAATCTAATATTCAGAAATGCTTTCTTGCGTGTTATTTCCCTGTACTTTACATTGAAAACGAGCTACAGATAAGTCCTGCCGACCAAATAATCCACCCACACACCTCTCTCATCTTGTGAAATGAGGGCTCAAGAAAATGTGCGCAGATAATACATATAGTAGAGTCACGGTAATCCGAGCCTCGCTAATCCGAGATTCCGTGCAGAGATGAGAAAAAAAGACTCCTGTGCGCCAATTCCTCAAATAAGCGAGGATAATCAAAAGCTTGCTCTTGACGGGTTGACCACATTACGTCGAAGGTCACATGTGCGGCGGTCGGTGACAGTGTCAGTCAGCTGCATTGTTGTGATCGGTAGGTAGGCTTGTCCGTACCTACCTCATATAGGTATATACGTACCTTTCTGTTATTTTAGTAGTATCTGCATATTAAATTTCACTTCGAGATACATTGAAGTTGAAAATCCCGTCCTTTTCCCACGTAATCAGAGTTTCATGTAATTGGAGGTGCCCCGTCAGCCCCGTTTGCCTCGGATTATCGCAACCCCGCTGGCGCGCCGTTGCTTGCAGCGCTGACTCTGGGCCCGCGGCGCTGCGACGCGTGCCTGCCGGGCGAGGTGTGCGTGGCGCTGGCCGGGGAGACGCTGCCCGCGTGCCGCCCGCCGGCCGACGCCGCTGACCCCACGGGCTGCGGGGGCCTCTGCCGCCTCGGACGCGACCTCTGCCACCGCCTCGATCGCGATGCCTTCAGGTGCGGCGCCGCTTCGCCTTTGCACCTTCTCCTGTTCCTTCCTCGCCTACTTCTTCCTTCGGGGTCGCCCATGAATTACGAAACGATGAAGAGGAGGGGGAAGGCAGCGTTACGCTGCTTTACGTAGAGATAGGGGGTGGTTAGTGAAGTGTTACGTAACGCTAATATATTTTTGTACCTTTTAACATTTCTTGAAATAATTCCTTTTATAAAGAATAAATAAGACTTTAAATAATTAACGAATAAAATTCGAAAAGTAATGGATGATGAATTAAATTCGTAAATAATGGATGACTCCTTTCTCCAAATTTACTTACTGCAATATTCAGTATTAAAATAGTTATTAAGGTCTATAAAAATATTACTTGTATTTGTATAGTTTTGTCTTCTTCTTTAACGGGATAGAGGAAAAATAACATAGGCACAACACTCATTGAATTATTATTATTATTATTATTATTATTATTATTATTATTATTATTATTATTAATTTTTCTCTACATCACGATTAAAGATGTTATGAGTCACCTGAATATAATACTCCAGGTTGCAACCTACTACCTAGGGGGCAGATCTAGGAGCAGTCGATGTCTCTACAATACTTTGCGCAGAATGTGAGCTGTTCCAAATAAAGCAATTTCTTGCACTTCCCAACATTTTGAAAGACCAGGGAGTGAAGCCAAGTTCTAACACAAATTTTGCGAAACACATCCAAAAGCTCCGATGGCAGCCGGAAAGACCTGTGCCTTTACGCTCCACATTCCGCTGATCTTGATTTCCAAACTCTTGTATTTAAGACCCCCCTTCTTGGTTATGACGTTTTAATCTTAAGGCTCAGAAACATCTACAAGTATACACGATTTTTTCCAAATCCTGGATAACAATATGCGGTTTGTTTGCAATCATGCAATTCATTTGAATTTGTTGGTCGTACGATATTGCAGAGCCCAACAGTGGTTTTGTTCGTACCATTTGGGGCATGTGTTTGGAACTTCGAGGGCACTACAGATCTGCCAGTAGAGGTATCTACAGATCCTGCCGTGTCTTTTCAAGTATTCGGCTAGAATTCGACAAGCTGAGACGATATGATCAATGGTTTCTACTTGTTCCTGGAAAATACGACAATTATCATCTTGGGAAATTTTGAGAACCACTTTATCATAATGTAGTGTTCTCAACGCCTCATCCTGAGTAGCATCTTATTAGAAATGTTTCAGATTCTGGCTTCATTCTTTCCCTTTTAAACCACATAAATCATTGATCTTAATTGATGTACACCTTGTCCATTCTTTTTAGAGACTGTCCATTGAGTGGTTTGTCTCTCCACGATGTCTTTAACATTTTTTGTGGCTCACATTTCATGTTTAATAGCATTTCAGGGTCAGTGTTGTTCTGCATTTTTGCATAGTTTTCTTTGCAATGCTTCTTGCTTAACTAACACTGACTCTGTTTCCCATTCTTCGATCAGATTTCATTACCTGCCTCATTAGGGGGTCATCTTGAAAAATGACTACATACTTTCCCATCCCGACTATTGCATTGTGCCAAGAGGCTTCAATTTGTCTGAGGCCTCTTCCTCCTTCCGTACGTGACACTTGGTCTATGTGCATCAGCTCGAGGGAGGGAGAAATGATGTTTTGTTAGCAGTTTTCTGTTTTTTCGATCCATGATTCGGATTTTATGCACAGTCCAGCCCTCTAGTCCGAAACTTTTCTAGACTACAGGTACCGCCAAATTACCACTTGCAGATATTTTATTCCTGGAGTTTAGAGCGAATTACAGGACGATCTTCTCTAATACTCCCTGAGAAATCTCACTTTCATTGTGTCATTCGAGATGGTCTTACATTCTTCACGCCCAGATATCAGTAAGTTTTGCCTGGCTCAAGATCTTGAATCACAATGTGCATTCAATGTTCTCTGACGATGTCACTTTGTCTTTCTTTAAAGAGTTTTGCACACTTGTCAAGACCAAACTTCATGCAGACGTCATTGCTAAAGTCATTCACTTCAGACAGCATTTGGAAGGAAATCATTTCATTCTTAGCAAACACTTCAAAATCATCCACGTAAAACAAATGTCATTTTCTGTGTCTGGTCTTTCATCACCATGGAGCTTGTAACCAAAGAGAGCTTGCGACAACACTATCTATAGTGAGATCAAACAAATACAAAACAGCAGAGGGGATAGTGAATCTCCTTGTTTCTACTGCTTCCTTTTCGCTGTATATTAGTAACCTGGTACTCCACGACTTCATACTAGCCTTGCAAAACTCACTAAGTCTAGAATGAAATCGATATAACTAATCATTTTCTAAAATTTTATTAACTTCCTTTGCTAGATAAGAATGTATTGCTGTAAATTTATCAATCCAATAATTCTGGATCTTATCAATTCCTGGGAATTCCCAGTTTCCCATGTTCTTAATTGATCGGAAGAGGTCCTCTTCCGAGTATTCGTGAACATGTTCCACTGTTTCCACAAGCTCATCGGCAGAATTAATTCCAGATTGAAGCCAAGATGCGTCTTTGTTGTAGGATCTGCTTCCCTTCCAGATTACTGCCCAAAATGCTTTGACGTCATCTTTTGTAGGTGTGACAGCTTTACCATTCGGTTTTTGACTCAGATTGCGATAGAATCTCTTCGCGTCTGTTTCAAACAACCGATTCTACACACGGAAATCTATTCTCCGTTTGTACGAGTAACGTCTAATTATTATTACTACTATTATTATTATTACTATTATTATTATTATTATTGTTGTTGTTGTAATTACCATTATTATAATTATTATAGCCTAAATTTCACTTCGAAAACCATTTTGAATGCTGGAGGGGGAAGGGGGAGAAAGATGGTCTCTTTTAGTTTGAAATAACTTCACATTAGTAACTTCACTTTGACTCTGTAATCCTCAAGCACTAGTTTGCTATTAACAATCGTAAATCTCAAAATTGGTTGTATCTCTAAAAATGATATTATTTCCTGTAGATGTGTGGAAGATTCACCGTGCCTAGCAGAAGAATGGCGTTGTGGAAACCTCCTTTGTATTCCGCGGGTCAAACGCTGTGATGGTCACTTGAACTGCTATGATCACACCGATGAGTTTGACTGTGGTGAGTTCTAAGACTTATAAAGAAATTTCTTTTAAAATAAAATTAAGAACTAAGTTGAATGTTCAGTGAAAGAAAATGAAGAGTATATCTATATAAAAAAATTGATGTGGTAAAACCTATTTCAGTCCGTGGAGATTTTTAACAAAAGAGGTGATGTTCCTCAACAAAATGTAAATGTGAGATTGAAAAGTTTTGGGGTGAAAATATTGCAGCTAATAAATGCTCTGTCAATCAATATTTTTTTAAATGATAAATTTGATATGATGATGATTATTTTTTTTATGATAATTGGTTGTTGTTGTTGTTGTTGTTGTTGTGGTTGGGTTGTTACTCAGAGAGTCAACTTCTTAACATTTTTTTCAGAAAATGAGCATTGCAGTTAGTTTATAAAATACTAATCAGCAACAAATGCACAAACATACAGTATAAATATAAAGAACCTAAATTGATATGTTATCTCTCTGAGGCACATAATTTGTTTAATTTTAAGGTTTTAGTAGGTGTTGGTAATAGAATGTTATGTAGAGAAAAAATATCAAATCAATTTTTCAGTATTTTGTTTTAGTGGCCTCCTTAAATTTGTTTGTATTGTTTGAATTTTTAATTCAAAGGCAGGGTCCACTCTGTAGAATAATTCCTTGTATGTACATCAATTAAAGCAGTTTTAATTACTCAGGAAATAAATTATATTTACGTTTTTATTGGAATACTTTTGTATAACACAGAAACAAAAACGGGATTCACTTACATTTAAACTTGTTTTTGTGATTGTTATCACCTCAGATTTGCAGAAATTTGTTTTTTCACTAAGAAGGATTTCTAACGGGGAATTTAGAAACATGCTATGGAAGTAATCAAAGTCTGGTTGTTATAATCTTATGAAAGATAGTTTCTCCCTCAGAATACTAAAGGATACTGAAGGTTTCTACCTACCTAATATTTTTTGCTTTTAGAATACCAAAATTACAACTTTTGAATTTGACAGTGAAATTAATGTAAACCAATTAACCCACTTCCTAATAGTGAGTAAAATCTGTGGTACAATGCAATTTTATAAAATGGAATAATATACCAAATATACAGTCACAAAATAGTTTTGATAATATAAAGTGAATATTTCTCTTAGCCAAACAAATATTAACAATCATATCATTTAATAATGATTCAAATCATTTAATATGAAAGAACTGAACGACTGAGCATTTCACCAAACTTGGAAGAAAAATCTGGTAACTGGAAAGGATAATAGTCTTTTGCTCTTGAAATGAATCCTTTTAAAAAGCAATGAAAAAGCATTCGGGGCGAAAAATGGAACAAAACAAAATGGGAATGAATAAAGTTCGAGTGATGAACATAATTGACTAATGTAAAGTAGGCTTAAAAACATTACAGGCTTAACAAATTAAGCTAATAATTTGGCAAATTTGCTCTCTTTTATTAATTGTTTGATCTTCTAATGTTATCTGCTTTTTCAAGGTATTTTACTAGTTTTTATGCATATTTATTTTGAATAATTTTATAATGGGCATCTCTAGCATGTTCAATTTATGGGGGATGACAAAGGAAGAGATTTAAATTAAAAGAGATGGGATGTCCAAAAGAGATGCTTATATCTCTGTGGAAATATAGTTTAACTCTATGAATTTGTTTACTTATTGAAGTCAATAAGTGGCCTATGGTAAATTAAACTCATGATGCTAAGAAGTGGCACAGACTTTCTCATACTATTTAGTTTTGTAATTGCTTGGGATTGAGCTTGCTTTTCAGTCTTGCCCCATCTTTTTGCCAGCTATCATCTGTCACCCCCCAAAGTACATTTTTTAAAAATGTTCTCCATTTTTTTTGTTTCCTAATGGTAGAATGTAATTTAAGAACATAAGAGGAGAGTAAAACGTTGTCCTGAATGGAAATTCTTGTTGAAAAATGTGGAGGCATTTTTAAGTAAATGTCATTTAAGCGATAGTGTAAATGCAAAAATTGAAGTTTTTCCACAGAAAACTTTTGAGTTTTTGAAAAAATTCATTGGAAGTCATTTGAAGCACTATTACAAATCCAATAATGTATACAAATCGCTGGAAATGTGCAAATTAACAGTACGAGAGACAAAAGAGGGGGGGGGGGAATTTAATTTTTGAAAAAACAAAAGAATGTAGGGAAATGGCTCTTACTCGTTATCTTTAGATCTTGCAATTTTAGGCATAAAAAAGCATTGATTTAGGCACCTAAAACGGGTAAGAAAATTAGCAAATTAGGCACTATTAGGTATAAAAACTGATGTTTTAGGCACTTAAAATACATTACAAGATGATTAAATTAGGCATTAATTAAAAAATAATTAAACATGAAAAGTTGTTTCTGACATCTAAATCTGATCACAAAAGAATGAATTAGGCATTTTTATTATTCAGGAAGTCTATAATTTTTACATTTATGCGGGTGCACTACGAGCAGGTTATTTTATTCACTTCCATAATTAAACAGCATAGTATATATACACGATTCAAAAGAAACCAAACACAAAAGAAAACCGAAATTATTTTTCTATTCAGACGTTCAATACTTATGCCAATTTTGTAAGATTCGCCTTTCTGACACACGTTTGCCTGACCTATGTCTGTTCTTGCCTGGATTGCGTAGAACACATGTCGCAGGCGATAAGTCTCAACCTGTCAACAGCGCCACTTGCAGAGCCTTACGTTCGGTTGGCTGGATGAGAGATTTCGGTGCGTAGTCAATTGCGTATTCGTCGATCAATGAATATTCGCGTTTCGGGAAAGAATTTGCTTCTTGACATAACTCGTTTTAAAAATTAACAATGACAATATGATAATTCTTCAAAACTACCTTTTTAGCCAAAAACAATATCAAAATAAGCATCAACCGCCCTTTTAGGACATTTTAAGCTAGCGTTTGCAAACTGGACGAGAAAGGACGTCAGAGCTGAATTCTCCTCTGTTCTGCCGAGCAGCAGTGTGTGTAATAGGGGGAAGGAAAGGGCAGCGCCGATAACGAAAGGCAGTGGGTCATTGCCGATGTTTTCAGGCAAGAGTGGGAAACAATTATTATTACACGTTAAATTTCTTTCGGTAAGGGAAGTAAGATTTCCTTTTGTAGATACTGGAACAATGGCGAAGTGTTTAGTGTGTTCGAAAGGACTACAGTATGTTAAAAAGTCCAACCTACAGATGTTTTACGTAGCTTTGCGATTCAGAAAAATCTACAAGATAAACATCCCCTAAGGGCCCCTTCCCACGGCGCGGCCGCAGCGCACGTCGCAGCAGCGCGGCGCGTAGCAGAGCATTGGTTGAATGGAGGCCTTCCCACGTGCAGCGGGTGGGGCGGCTGCTGCGGCAGCCGACGCCGAACTCCAGCTTACGCGAAGCGGAGGAGGGCCACGCGCCATACCGCTAGCAGAACACAGTTTGTTAAATGAGTGTTTCCCCCACTGCGTCCGCCCGGCCGCCAGCGTTTCTACCTGCTCCTGGTCCCTTTGTTTGGTCGTCGCCGGAGGTCGCGAAACCTACCGCCTCAGACCGCCACCCGCCTCCCACGGTGGCGCGGTGCGGCCGTGGACTCCGGCGAGTGCTGCGTCGGAAGAGCTCTGCTGCTTGAAGGAAGCGCGCCGCGGTCGCGCCGTGGGAAGGCGCCCTAAGGGAAATCCAAACCTACAATACTTATATCCGCCCAACCCGCTCCAACGCCCATCCCACCTGGTTCAATAAATCTATTATAAACAAGAGGAAACTGTCACTGAAAACTGAATAATCAGACTGGTACGAATTCGTATTCCTTCCCCCTCCCTTAACCCGCTTCAATGACCTGTGACAACAGTACAAAATGCCCCACATCCTCACTCATCTTAACAACTCCTCCGTACAAACTCATCACTCCGTACAAAGTTCATTACCAATCCTCAGTTTAGCAATCATATCCTACCCCACCACATCATAAAAAATCTCCCCCGACACACTCATAAAAAATACCCCCTTGACATCCTGCAACTCCCTTCTCCAATAACCTAGGCCAGAAGGCGAAAAACAAGACCAAACGGCCAAGACCAAAAGGCATATAAACGACCGACTCGCTACTGACTCCCTATGAACCCAAGACGATCTTGAAAGCAATATTCCTTTCCCCTCGTATATCCCATCCCATTTCTCTCCCACATCCTTTCCCACAGTCTCAAGCCCCCTAACAAAAAAACTCCTCACTTCATCACCCAGATTCGTAATCCCCGTCCCTGTGCGGCGAAGAGGCGCAAAACATCAGCAGACGACCGATGCAAATAAATATTGACGAAGAGTCTCATTAAGAGACAGGTGGACCATTCAAGCACATCCTGGTTTCTGTTCTGTTCTCGCCGCCTTGTCGGGCTTCGCAGCTTTGCTAGGCTCAGAGCAGGATTCTGTGACGTCACAGAGCATTGAATTGGCAAGCACAGTTTTAAGCTCTATTAGATCCTTTCAATGAATCTATTTTTTGATGATTCGTAAACATCTGCAATTAATTTCCACAACTTCCTAAACGAACTAAACAAGCATTTGTCCTAAAATCCAACATTTAGTCATTTTAAGACGGCTCCACACATGCGACATACAGCGAATCCCAAGCAACCGCTCGCCGAATTCCGAGCAGTGTGGACGGGTGCTACTATTCGCCGAACGCCGAACATTCGGTATTCGCACTGTCCATCGCGTGTTGATCTTTAGAACACACGAAAGGGAGCGAACATTCGCCGAACACATCAGCCGTTCGGGATTGGGCGAGTAGGTGAGCTTCGCTGCTCGGAAAATGAATTGTTATAAGCACTATCCCGACAAAAAGTTCGAAAAAAAAAAAAAAAAAAAAAAAAAAGAATTGAAGTCGTGAAATATTTATAAGACATCATTTGAAGCTTGTGTACTTAAATATGCGATAATGTGAACAAATCGCCGCTCATAGAAACTTATTTATTTATGTCAAAAACAGTTAAAAACTGTGTATGACGTGCTATGGGGAGAAGTGAATTTGAAGTTACATTTATGTCCAGAAGCAAAACAAAGGTCCATCTCAGCATTTCCTCGAGGATCAGGGAAACTGGACGAAAATCTGATCGAGATGGGGGTCATCGACCCAGAAGCTGAAGTACAATACTTGTTACATGTTCATTACAATTATACAATCCAAATGATATATAATACATTAAATGTAATTTTAAAAATTAATATTACTTTCCTTTTTTCAGTATAGTCTCTAATTGATAGAAACAGTTGTGCAGCAGAAAAGATTTTACTTGGGACTTAAATTTTTGTATCGAATTTAAACGATTAATGTCACCTGAAAAGGTGTTGTAAAATAATGTACATGTATTATATGTGATTTTTTTGTATTGAGCTGTTGATACTGTTACCTGATGAATGTGATTTCTACGTCGAGTATTGTAATTATAGACAACGGCGTTTGCTAAAAATATATTTCCGCCCTTAAGTAAGTCATTTTTGACAAAAACTACTGATTCATATATTAAGTGACAAAGTAATGGTAAAATACCTAGATTAAGAAAGAAAGGATTACAAGAATCACGTGGGTGGGATTCGCTTATTATTCGTACAATTCGTTTTTGTAATCTAAAAGTCTGGGAGCTATAAGATGTATTTCCCGAGAATGCCATATCTCAGGCGAGAATAGTAAGGATGTGATCTTTGTAACTTTTTGAAAAAAAAAACAACAAATTGACGTATGTCATATTATACAGTACTAACCCCACCAATAATTTAAAGAATACATTTTTCAGCCATTTTTGAGAAATTCTTGTTTCAGATTTTTTTATATTGCGTGCATTTCACTTCATGTTGCCCCAAAACAACTAAAATTTGATAAAAAATTCACACGACCTCAATGAAAGAACTAATTGTGTAGAAAAAAATTCATATGAAGGTCAAATATCTTTCTTCAATTTTTTAGGTGTAGGAAGACGCCTAAAAAAGTTCAATGTTTTGCATTTTTCGAAAATTCACAATTCACAGTAGAAATAGGAATTATGCCGTTTTTAAAAGTGCATTTCACTCTTACTAGAAATTTAAAGAAAAAAATGTTTGAGAATTTTGAAAATGTCCCAGGGTTTTCAAGTAAATTACCCCCAACAATTAAGGAATGTTTTTCCAAATCATAGAGCTTCGAGCGAGGCCAGATCGTCAGGGGTTTATTCAGTTGGAAAAAATCGTACGCATAGGTTAGGCGAGTGTTCAGATAGTTTAGGGTCGACGGACGGATGGACGGACGGACGTTTTGAAACTAGTGTGTACAGAATGGCAGATAGCATAATCGTTATTTTTTCAATTTTTGTGGACTGGGCTAGCCTTACGATCTTGCCCTATCCTCTTGTCAGCTGCCATCTAATTCTAGCGGCCGGCTACTCTTGATCGGTAATTTTCCGTGGTCTCTCCTATCAACAATAGGTAAATACCGGAGTACCCTAACAGGCTACGGACCAAGCGCGATCCTCTTCCTTGACGTATCCTCACGTCTTACACACGCACACAAACATGCACTAACACTACCGCACATGCCGGGAGACCGATCGGGAGCTCAAGCTTGTCCAGGATGGGGCGGTGACCCGCTGGTGGTAGATACCTGGTTTGGGAAACCCCACTAGCAGTTGGGGACCCCCCCGTTAGCCGAAGTTAGGTCGGCGCCGGGTCTCGCCATATAGCGGGGGAAGACAACAGCCATCTACTTAGCAAATATATGCACTACATTTACGGGATTAATGACACTAGCGTTGACGAGCCAGGAGTCTCTAACAATCAGCCACCCAAAGTAATCATTTTCAAAAATTCTTAATTTTTGGATTTTCTAATTGTAGAATCGAAAGATTTGGAGCTGGTTTTGAGAAAATTGGGTTTTAAGGGTGAACGCGAAATTTGAAACTCTCGAAACACTTTATTAAAACTCATTTGCAGACCTTTCATTGACAAATGCAATAATGTATTCAAATCGCCGGAAATGTATTCGTTAAAAACGTTGAGAGGTATTAAAAAAATTAATTTGTGTAATTTTGAAAAACAACAAAAGAATACAGCAAAATGAATTTTAAGTTACCTTAAACAGTGAAATTCGCACTATCCGTACGAAAAGTTTGAAGACAAAATTTAGTGTCGTTTTTGAGAGAATGGTGTTCGAGCTTTCTGAAAATGCGAAATTCTTAACTTATTTTAACAGAAAACTTATGAGTTTCCAAAAACAATGACATTTTTTCAAGCACACGTACTCATAAATCCAATAATGTGAACAAATCGCATCTGATATAAATATTAACGACGTTAGAGAGATATAAAAAATTGTGGAATTTTGGAAAAAAACAAAAGTAGAGCAATATGGCGTTTGTGTCATCTTAGAGAGTACATTTAGCACTAACTCTACCAAAAAAGTTTAGAAAAAAAATTGGAGCAGTTTTTAAAAATCTAATTTTTGTAATTTTTTAAATTGCACATGTTTCTCAATACTACTAAAATTAGACAAAAAATGTGCATGACCTCAATGAAAGAACTATGAAGAAAAAAATTTACTTGAAAGCAAAATTCCTATCTTCAAATTTGTAGTTGTAGGAAGACGCCGAATAAAATTCAAACTTTTGCAATTTACGAAAATTTAGAGTTAACAGTGGAATTCGAACCTATGCCACCTTCATGAGTGCATTTCTTTTTATTATAGTATAACCTGCTCAATGCGGAATCTCTATCCCCCCCACAGTTTAGACTAGGTTCCGCCTAATGCAATGTGATACTGCGTGCGGTTTTTACATTCGCTGGGTTCACATTAGACAGACTTCCGTATTATTCACGTTTTGCTTAGAGCAAATTTTAATATACAAGAAATTTGGAACGATTTTTAAATATATTTTGAAAATTTCCCAGGGTCTTCAAATAAAATACCCCCAAAAATTAAGGAATGATTTGAAAACGCCCATCCACACACACATTTTTGGTATGAGGCGATCCCAAAACGTCTCGAAATCTATTTTTTACGCAGCATTACATAACTTTCCTCTATGCTAAGTATTTTACTCCGTTTTTATACGATTACTTGAAAGTAAAAGTTGATGTAGATTATGGCAACTAGTCGTGAATTTGATATTAAATTATCTTAATTTGGATAACGAAGGCAGTCACTGAGAATATCGTGACTGCAGCGATTCTTCGAACAGTTGTGTTGGGAAGCAATGCGCTTCTTCGTCCAGTTTGAGAAATGGCTCACTGGGTTACGCAACATCTATGCACTGGTTCTGGAGCTTCTTTTTAATATTCCTTTGTCATGCGTTCTGGACTTTTTGATTAATGAAGAACAGCAACATTTTATGTACATTGCTTGTTTTACAGACTGACTGTTATGTAACAAATAATATCCTTGTTATTGTTTTACTGAAACCACCTTATCAAAACATTAAATAAGAACAAATTGAGATAAGAAAAATTTGGAGAGAGGGCTCTCCACCCCCCACCCTCACTGTCAGTGCTTATTAGTAGCAACTTCCTAATGGAAAATATGCACTTATACTTTTGTAGTTTGATCTTCAGATTTAGGATCTTACGAGATAGTGGGATGAGAAACACTCCAGATTACATCACATGTGAAGGACTAAGAACAAATATCTATGTCCCCAGCAGACTTCAACATTTGAAACCTTGAACTTCCTCACAGCGAAGATTTACTGGTTGGCTATGTAGACTTCCATAAATGTTTTAATATATCATATTCTTCACATTTTAACACATTAATGGCAACACATAATAATCTTGACATTTTTCTTGAATTTACAAAATCAACTAATATTTCAAATTATTATGAAACTGGGATAAAAATTCTTTACATACATTTTTGAAATTTTAAAATTTTTCTATTGTAAATAGATAATATTTTAATTCCTTAATATTTACTATTTATATAAAAAAACTGAAGCACACCAGTATACAGGAGAGAGCTTATTTATAGAATTAATTTCAAATAAGATTAAGTAATTCGACATGAAAGTTTACTGAAAATTTATTATAAGTAAAACTTTATCTATTTTTTCAAATTGTTATGTGATATTGCAATCAAAGAATTTTGTTTTTGCTGAAACTATCACTTTCAACTCTTCAAGAATATCATTCTCTGGAAAATGTTTGAATTAATAAAAAAATGGATCTTTGATTCCCTCTTCTATTCAATTTTGTTTATAAGGTAGTGTTCTTCAAGTCTGAAGTTACAATTATTTTTTGTGAATGTTTCAGAGTGTGATCTGGAAACTCATTTTCATTGCGGAAATGGAACATCATGTCTACCACGCAGCAAGCGCTGTGATCATATCATTGACTGTTGGGATGGCACAGATGAGCTGAATTGTACTCAAGGTGGGATAACTCCACATTTCAGATGGTCATGGCGAATGTTCCTAGAACCTAAACAAGTAAAAGTAGCTAAAGTTACTAGATGATAGCAGTGGTGAAAAATGTTTTCTGAAAAATGAAATTGGTTAGCATTTGGTGCGGAATAAAGGCATAGCAATGTTAACACATGCACAATTTAGTAATTTATTGTTTGTATTACAAATAACCATGACTAGTCCAGGAAATGTGAGATGATCGAATGAGTTATTGGAACTACTTTGTTAATCCTTGTTTAATAACCTAACATCTTTTATTTCTAATCTGATAATATATAGTGATCATATTGACTTACTGAGAAAATTAATTTTTAAATATATGTTTAGTTAAGATTTTTTTAAAAATAATTCATAAAATCAATAAAACATTTTTATGAAGAGCACTTTATTTAATTATTTATTGGAAATGGTTCATAACCTGAAGGTTGTTTACAGCCTGCCCACGTGCAGACCAGTTTACTTGCTCTGATGGGCAATGCATTCCCAGAGTTCGCTTCTGTGATGGTCTGGCAGACTGTCATGACCAGTCAGATGAACCCTTTGGGTGTGGGGGTGCCTGTAAGAGACATGAATGGCGATGCGGGTGAGTTCTTCGAGTGAAATAAGATCATAAAATACATATAAGATTATGAAAAATTTTAATCTGATACAAAGGGTGGTCCATTGGAAACTACATTCTTCCATGACTAGGCAATCTTTTTAAAAACACAAACTTCATTTCACATCATTACGCCTATATCTTTATAATTACTGTTAAAATAGTTTCCCTATCATTCTCATCCATATCCTCACCCTTAACTGTTCCACTGCTTTCTTGAATTGTTAGTATAGGCATGCACAGAGGGGGGGGGGCAGCAAAGGGTCCCATTGCTGTACTCAATAAAACATTTTATTTCTGTGAAGATTTTGAATCAATGATTTTCCTCTTTTTTTACCAAACAAATAGGAATTCTTTACAATTGTATTTTGTGTAGGCCTCCTTAGAAGCACCTGAAGTCATTAACAATTGCTGTTTTATGCAGAAGTAATACATCATTTTACAAATTATAACATAGAATTATTAATCACAATGATTGAAATTATTTTACCAGTAAATTAGGGAAATTGTTTTAAGGCATTCGGCGAAAAGGCTCTACAGATCCGGCAAACCTGTAAACAGCTACTCGTAAAACAATTTGTACTTATTAGTTTTAATACTTAAAATTATAATGTAATTCCCTTTGAAGTGCATTTTATTTATTTATTTACTAGTAAAAGGTTATAAGTAAATGAAAAAAAAAATTGAATGGCAAATGGAGCCCAAAAATGTAGTTAGGCCCTCTGTTGTCTTATGCGTTGCAATTTATTGTTAATAACTTCTGCCAAGTAAAAAGTTCATATCTTATTTTGAAAGCCACTAGCACAATACATTTGTGGAATATCATCTAGTGTTGAAGCAAGTTTACGTGGACTCTTAATCAGCGAATTAGACAAAGCTGTCTATATATAATTTTATTTGACTCAAGCTTTACTACATAAACCAAAATATTGTATGAATGAAATGACTTTACTTGCTTCTATTTGTATCCTGTTTAAAATATTACATAGTATTATTAATATTTTTGGTACATTAATTTAATATACTCATTCCACAAAAAATTGTTGATTATATCTGTATTAATTACATGCATGCAATTAAAACTTAACAACTACCAATCAGATCTCAGGAAAAGAGTAAAAAGTGTATCATTAAATCACTTTGAACACACACAAAAAATGCACGTCACAGATTACACAGTTCATCAGTGAGTAACATTTATGATCAAATATTTCATTACTACTACTACTACTACTACTACTACTACTACTACCACCACCTAAGGATATAAAAATTAAAATACTATCACATAAATTGGATAATCTAACAGTACCTATTATACTTTTTTCAATGTATCATACGTTCCGTTTACTTAAATTGCCTTCTTAAGGTGGTATTTAACATCTGGTACCTCCACAAGGATCTATTTAGTTCTTGACTGTCATTAAGTCTGATTTTTTTTGGCATAACACATTCATTTTTTGTTTTTATCAACATCTATTGAAATTATTGTAATGTGAAATATCAATTTTGTTTCACATGCAGTGACCTCTTCAGCATGGATAAGTACAACCACAAGCAGAATGGTTTGATACTAGTTAATGGAACAACATAAAATATTTAACATGACTAAAATAAATGTATAAATGTAAAACATATTTTGTATAAGCATATTACAAATGTGAAGAAATATAAATGTCCAGTTGTATATACGTATTCTGAACAAGAATGCTAACAAAACCTCTTCTGAGTGGGAAGTGATTAGCTTTTCCGTATTCTAAGATTTATTATCATTACATTTTCTCTCACACGTCTTTACTTTTGCTAGGAAGTAATGTTTGCATCACTTTCTCAGCTTCTTTTAAAATTTGATCTGCAAAATGATCAATATCTCCCATTTTAGTTCTATTTCCTTATCCTCTAAGATTTTAGGTAATCGTAAATACAGAAAGCAGGACCCAGTAAAAACAGTCTTGTTTACAACAGACATCATCAAACGTGTGCTTTTAATGTTAAACATAAGCTTGTATATAACAAAATTAAAAATATTATTAAATAGAAGCGTAAAATATTGAACACAACACATGGACAAAGGGTTGTAACTGCACATGCTGTAAATAAGAAAGCTCTGTGTTGTCGCTCATTTTCAACATACCACTAGTGCAATTTTACCTTTCTTTCTCTCACTAGTTTTAGAATTCATTGTAATGAACATGAACAAGTGAGGGCGTATCTCTATCTCAATCTCTATATATGTTATATTATACATATCATTATAACACCAATTTAACTTGAATTTACAAAGTAAATAGGCATTCATATTACAACCAGTGCTGGCGCTAGGCATGGGCAGAGCAGGTGATTGCCTGGGGCCTGAAGATTGGAAAAAATTAAGTTAAAAATTCAAAACGCATTTAGTACTCAAGAAAATCATAAACATAATTTTATGTTGCATTATAGTAGTCTGATTTTTCATAACAATTTCAATTAATTGTTTGCCTTAAACTTTAATTATCGTCATTATTTACAAGGTAGGACTCTATGAAATGGCACTAACATTAAAATAGATTCTACTTAAATTCATATTCATTATTACAATTCTCTCTATTAAATTACTTTGCTTAAAGACAAGGGTTGAAATTAAACTTTCTACAGTGATGGGATGATATATTTGTGAGCAAGATCTAGGATCCTATTTTTTGGATGGCCCCTTGCTTCTTGATGAAGTATGAAATCCTTTTTCAGTTAAGTTTAATTTTCTGCATACCTCATTTCCAAAAGCATATTAAATTAACCTGTTATTCTGTTACAATTGCACAGAAGTGCAACTTGGTATATCTCGGTATGAATTGATTATGGGTCGTCCATATATTACTTAATGCAAATTTGGAATATTTTGATTACCCCCTCTCCCCCCTGTAACGTGCATTTGAACCCCCACCTAAATAATTACATAGTAACACCCCCCTCTTTACAGTAAGTAAAAACCATTTGTATAAATTTAATGTGTGTAACATACTAAAATTTATGATAATTTAAGTTAAGAAATAGCTGGTAATGGTGATTTCACCCTAATAATGATTGGAAATCTTTTTTGAGTGAAGGAAGGATGTACAGAGGTGGCAATTTCTGACAAGCCTTGCACCCATCGTCTTAGCTGATGCATGGTCAAGAGACTATTGTGCTAAATTAATTGAAATTTTCTAGAATACATTACAGATCAGTTTTGAATGCTTCCTTCCTAATCGAACAGATTTAATCAACATATCATTGATGAAAAAAGATTTCCATATTGTAACAATTACGTGATAATTTCTTTACAGATTTTTTCTTAAGAAAAATACAATTTGTTAATATCTTAATGTTTTGGTATGTAACTAAATATAAGAAATTATTGCAGCAAACATTGAAAACTTATAATGTATGTGTAAACACACACACAATATACATTTACGATATGTAACGACAAACCAACACCCTTTACCCTTACGAAACATAGTTAACGCTGCCGTAATCCCCCTGCTTCCGTTTAGCATTACACAATTTATGGACGACTTAAAGAATACAAGATATTTTTAAATACATTTTTCAAACATTCACTTACATTCTTACTATTAACAATTAGTTGTACATTTTTTAAGAATATTCGCAAGCAATTTATTGATTGCTGTATCGTATATTGCAGTTCAAAATAGTGTGTAAAGAGGAGAACTTGCCGACTTTGATAAAGATGCATTTCCTCATAGTGGTTAATCTTAATTTATAGCAATTCTTGTCATAATCTACTGAAGGCACTCTGCTGAAATAGATTTTCTTAGATATAGTGATGAACATTAAGATGCAAAGCATTTTTAAGTTTTACTTAAATTATACACAACAAGGTGAATTTAGCACAAGTGATCATTTATTAAAATAATAAGATTAGAGTCAATTGGAAGAAAAAAGGGTACGTCAAATGTTATGAACCATTGAACAGGAAAAAGTGAGAACTCGCGGAGTATCATACCTGCTTCATAACACAGGCAATACACAAAACTCTCTCCCATTTGAAGTCATCAAAACTGCTTTTCAAAAGAATTTGTTTTTCTTCCCGTTTTGCTTCATGCTTTCTTCCTCTTCCTACAGTTTTCATATTATCATTAGATTTGGAGCGAAAGAAATTTTTTCAACACTATGCAACTTCCTTGCAAGAATTTTGATTTCCTTTGCATTTATAAAAGTGTGGTTTTGCTACAACAATATTGAAATAAATTTATTTGCCGACTTTGTGAATACATCTCCTACTTATTTAATATATCTATTCAAATTAAAATTAATACCTTCGCAGTTCAGCAATGAAGTATAATTTACAGAATTTTGTAATTCAAAATTTCAGAGAATTCTTACTTCTTTATCCCACTACCTTCCCATGTTTTGTTACATTTCTTTACACATTTATTCTACTACAAGTTTTGTATCTTAAAATTTTGTTGGTGATGGGTTATCAGTCGTGCACTAGTGACATTTTGTGTCACTGTGCAGGAATGGACGCTGTGTGAAGAAAGCTGCAGTTTGTGATGGAGCAGATGATTGTGGGGATGAGACCGATGAAGCCAACTGTTCCCCCAGTCGGCTGAGGTTACGAGCAAGCCAACCATTGGTCAACGCCAAGTGAAAGGACATTTGGAATGGTAACATACTATGCACAAGAATGCAACGAAATGGGCCTGTAATATCAGAGAAGGAAACCTCTTAGAGGTTGGAATAGTTTAATGCACACAAATGAGATACACCAAAAAAAGAAAAACAAATGGCAATGCTGAGATGGAAGTGAGAAGGACCATGTTAATATTCTGTCAAGGTTTGTGGAGATGAGCCAGGCTAGTCTTTCATACCCAGTGCCTTTGGTAATAAGCAGCAATCACTTCTTAAAGCTGCCTATGAAGAAATCCGTCCAGATAACTCCTGCCTTAAAAAATGTCTTCTGAAGATATAATGGGTTTGCCCATTTTCTCCCAAAATATTCTCATAGGTTCTTTACTTTTTCTTTTAGACCGAAAAGGTCTTCAATTATTTATGTTTACTGGTCTATTGCTATGTGGTTAAATTTAATTTTCATTAAGTTAATTTTTCAGTTCAGTGAAATAGAACTTGTAGAAATGTTAATTTAAAGTACATATAAAGCATGTATGAGTTGAACATGCATCGTTATTAGATGAGCAATGCTCTAATACATACCAAAATTGTAACCAAAGATGTAAAATACATTAACATACAAATCAAATGTATGGTGGAAGATTTTGTTTAACAAAACCGCAAATGTGCAGTATATTGCTCAGGGTGTTTACATTAACTTGTAAGATATTTAAGTGAATTGTCTGTGGAAATTCAGAGGGTTATATGAATGTTATGTTTTGCAATCAAACAAAGCAAATATATATTTTTATATTGAGCCTAAATATTGCAATCTTATTGTCTCAACTTTGTTGCTCTACATTACATCTCAATTCCCTGTAATTCCTCACACGTTCAAATCAATTACAAAAAAGTGCTGTCCTACACAATTTTTTGACAAATGTACAATTTATTTGATTTTTCTGTACATTTTACAATTGAAAATACATAGCCTTCATGAACTATGGATCTGCTTCAATATTAACATGAAAAATGTATATTGCACAATAAATTGGTCAGGTAATGTGCAAAGGACAAATGCTAAGAATCCAAAACATCTTCATAAACCTTTCTTTTTATGCATTCTTAAAACAAGTTCACTATTTTATCCACCTGAATGAACCAGCATCTTGATAGCAGGGAAAACTTACATAACTTTCTTGATATGAACTTCTCACAGTAATTACCGATAGCACTAAAATAAAGCTAATGAAATTACACGATTAAAAACAAATTTCACTGCCTATACTAGAATTTATCAAACATTACAAATAGACCAATATAACTTAAAAAGGATTACAATGAGATCTTAGAGACTAGAAAACAGAATTAACTTCTCCACTTGCTCAAATTTAATACAAATCTAACGTTTCTCAATTCAAGAAATTTTTGATTCGTTTGCTAAAAATTCCATTATCCCTGTTCAGCATTGAGTAAAGAACATTGAGGATAATTTGAGAAACTAAGCATTAATTGCAACTTAATGTGAAATCTATAAAAAGTTTCAAGATCCAATAAATTAGAATTCAGCAATCACTTATCAGGGATGGAGGTGATCCACATAAATAAAAATTCCACCAACAGTGAATTTGTAATTTACTTCATGAAAATTTAACAGGGGTCTTTTACATTTGTACTAACGCTATTACACCTGGTGATGTGTTAGACCAACTTAAATGCACATCATTACATTCACAATTTTACTGCCTATATTGACACATCAAATACACACAGGCAGTGTCCTGATAAATGGCAGTGTTTAATGCATGTCAATTACTCGTCTTGGAGAGAGAATTATCTGCAATTACTCATGGACACTAACCAGTCGAGTGAAGAATGCCAGTTGCTAAATTAATATGTAGCTTCACAATACTGATAATACCAAATTGGTTGGCTGCTACCTTTGGAATGTCACTCCACTGGTCAGGAATTAAACATCTCAATTAAAATGATCCCTGAACTTTAAAATAATTATCTACTTTGATGAAATTTTCAAAACCATATTAATATGAATTTGTGCTGGTAATGCTCAGCATCAATGCTCATCAGAATCAACAGCAACAGCTGGGATAAGTTAAATTTCATTCTCTCATCTCTATTGCTATAGAATACTCCTTAAAAATTTAATACAAAGATCAATATACCCCAACAAATAAGAGGTAAATAATACATGTATTTATTTTAAAACACAGTCAGATTACACACACATTTATATATATACACCACAGGGCAAATATTAGCTAAACATTCAAACCACATCAGTTATCGTCCTCGTCCACATTATCAGTGTCATTTCCATTTTCATCTTCATCTTCATCAACTTTCTCCTCTTCCTCATTACTTCCATTATTTTGTTCCACCTGTTCCATTACTACATCCTGCAAACCTCGCTTGCGAGAAAACTTTTCAAAAGTGCCTCCTTTAGACCATATACATTTCATGATTAGCCGAAATGCAGCCATTTGATTTCCCAGTAACTTCTGCAGAAAGAGAAAATCATCAGACATGAATACACAAAAACCAGCCACTTAAATTGCCTTGCAACTACTCACAAGCATTCGAGCCTGTTCAGACTTCAAAGGCTTTCCTTCCTGGCACACAACTGTATCTTCAATAAGAGTAACAACACCTCGAGTAAGGCTAGTTGGAAGGCCTAATTGACGAAGCTGAGGTTCCATTGAGTGTGGAAATTGTTCTAAGGGCCCTGCAGGCAGCACTACAGTCTTTGTAGCCACACATCCAGTGCGAGCATAGTCAGTTTCACTATAGTTATCAAACCATCTGCAACAAGAACAAAAGGTAAGTTTTTCGTTGCACTAGGAAGGAACCCTATACACAAACATTACATACTCGAGAACTTCATCTCTCTCTTTATTTGTGAAAAGTAGTCCACATTGCCCAGTCAATTGCTTGGCTAACTTGTGCAAGTTATCTTGCACTTCTGTCTCTGCTGTCAATCCCAATCCTAGAGCCATAACTTTATTCTTTCCGAAGAAGAACCTAAAAATGAAATAATATTAAAACACTCAGCATGTGCACGTATAGGCCAGAAACAAGGCATTTAGTGGCCTCACCTACTGTGCCTCCACTCACTGCGCAATTCCTTCAATTTGGCATTGCGCATATTTTTGACAGAAAATACAAATATATTTGAAAAGTTCTCCACACAACGTCGAATTTCATCCATTAACTGCTGTTTGAATTGTAGATCTTTCTTCTTGGTCTTTGTCAAAGAAACTAGAAAAGTAATAAAGGAAGCACATGTCACAATTTCGATTGAACGCATGGAAAAAGGCTACACAGCAAACGCATAAAAACACCAGATACAATAAAAAGTAATGCCACAAGTATTTTTCGCACTGTATCAATTAGTGCTAAAACCTCGTAGAGAAATTAGAGCAATTTTACAAAAATCAAAACAGGGTATTATGATAACGTGCCAGTGTCGTCAATTAGGTTACTTACTCTTCTTATCCCTTTTTGACTTTGGCATGCTGATATATTTACGCTACTGCCTTAAGTTGAAATCCTGCAATTAAATGACGTCTTACGTTCACTCCCACAAATTTGTCTGTGATGATAAAACACTTCAGCATGTCATTCAACACGTGCTACTCCGCCATCAGTTGCGGTTCCCCTTGCCTTGCCACCGCTTGCCACCCAGCTCGACCTCGCAGATGCCCGCAGAAGCCACTCGTCGCTCACACGAGCTGAGATACTCTCAGGATACTCTTTGCATCAGCAGAACAGAAAATTCTTAAGCATAGAATACAAAATGGTTGAAATACATATTTATTCTGAGCTACCAAATCCTAGTAGTAGTATAATTAGTGGAATCGGCGGAACGAGAAGCATGACACGACATTTCTTTTTACAGATATCATAATTTCTTCAAAATAGATACGTTTTTGAATTATATAATTCTATTCGTAATAATGATTCCCGAAAAGATCCTCTCAGAAAGAGGATGAAATTATAACCTCGTACGCTTTATGTCAAATGAACATTTTCTTAGTATTCACTCATTATTAGATAAACGTAAAGTTTATTATAAGCTTGCTATCAATATTCTATATAATTTTATAAATAATTTTTCTGACGATATATTTATGCTTTGACATAACTACTTTTTTACGTTCCATCATTTTATTATGTTTGTATGTTAAGTGTAAGTATATTAACAATTTTAAATTTAATTTAAAAAAAATTAATTAATTTCTACTAGGGTGCTTTATAAGCTTAAAAACCTGGCATTATCACAGTTGGATCATAGTTTGATATGGTTGGTAGAACGTGTTCCGGTTTGAGACCCCCTCTTCGAGCCTTGGATTCCGTCGGGAACTGGGAGGTTGTGCTAGTGTGTAGTTGTGTTTGTAGAGTAAGAAGTTCCTACACGTTATTTTTATAATATGTAAGTAAGCTCTTTAATGTGATTATTATTAATAATTGTGCTACATAGCTTTGTTGCTTGCGTGACGCGTTTCAATAAATTCTTTGGGAAGACCACGTCTTGGATGACGCATTGAAGGAGTGCCCTCGGAACTGTATCGCCATTTTGTCAGATTACCGGTGGTGTTAAGTAATAGCAACCTAGTATCTCCTAGATTACGAAAAAGGTACTGTGTATAAAGTAGTTTCTCTGATGCGGGTATCATTTATCATATTGTCATGGAAACTAGTGTAGGTATTAGAGAACTGTTGGCTGTTTCACGTGATTTTGCCTGACCTTCATTTGTTTCGCATGTCTTAATTTTACATACCTATTTTTTGCGGAGTTTGCACACTCTATCAGAAAGTTTATTGAAATTTTTAATAAATTCCGAGAAAAATTCTAACTCGGAAAAACTTCAGTGTCAAAATTTGACAGTGGTGCAGAAGCCGAGTGTCTTCCCAAAGGAATTTTATAGGTGTGTATTGCTTGTGTAGTACTTAGATTAACCAATAATTTGTTTCATTATAGTTGTGTCGGGCTGTAATTTTGTTTCCACCTGACAGTTTTAATCTGCCATGATTGTGTACTATGTTAAGTTCCACATTCTTATTTTAGAAAAAGCACCTCTGAATTGAGGAAACTGAACCTTAATTAACCATTCTTCCGCCCTTTTAAATTGCTGTTTAAAGTGATCTTGCAAAATGGTATCAAGTGGCAAATGTTAAATTAACAAAGTTGGTAGATGACACCTTAAATGTTAATGCAAAAAAGTTTTTGGGCATCATGGTGGAATGTGGTAGAGGATATGTGTAATAAATGAAAGGTAATTGGTTAGCATTGAGGAAGGGGGCACACGGCTGCAGCGGCTGGCCGGTGAAGTTGCCATTAAGGGTGGGAGGGGGACACCCTTGCAATCGATGTTGGGCGTGCGTGGTGTCACGCCGCCACCCTCACCCCGCGAGATGGACCATCCCACTGCAGATGTCTGGTGTTCGGGGTGGGGGGGTTGTTTCGTACTACTTGGAACAGCCACTGAATTTGACCACCCCTTTCATCTCCAAAAGCGTAGTATTTGCCTGAAGCGCTTCATTTGCTGTTCAAAATCCAATTATTAAAACCCTACTCATGTGTCACTTGTTACAGCCTTAAGGCGAGAAAAGCATCAGCGCATCAGGCGTATATGTAGATGTCTATAGTTTCGGGTGCACCTGTTGATTAGGGAACTTTCGAAGGCCTGTTGTCAAAAGATGCGTAGAGGTACGTTCTGAATAGAATTGCAGTAGTGTTCTCGGGTGGGTTCTTCAGTAAAGTTTGTTCTTGTTGTCACATGTTAAAAAATGTGACGCGGCAGGGTGAATCCGTACAATTGTTGCGAAAAATTTTGATTTCCCTTGTTCCTCCGCGGCTGACTCAGCAGCGCAGCCCAGGCGCAATGAACACGCGACGCAATCCTTGTAACTCGCAGAATTGAACCTCACGATTGAATGCAGTCACCGGCCAAAAATATTAAGGTCGGCGACAGCGGAGGAAGCATTGCCTGCAGTCGCCGGTGGCGTCGAGTATCGATCCTGGTGCCGCCATTGCCAACCTCAAAATGAGATCTCGGGGCGTGGACTCCTTAAAATTGTTGCGTATTGCGGACCTTGACGGTGCAGGCCGACGGTGTCCTGGGTTCGTCGCCCGGGGGCGGTGGCCACCGCGGTTGTTGCGTCATTCGGGAGCCGCTGTGACGGCACCAGTTTCCCTGGGCAGCGGGATTCGCGGCCCGGGCGCGCAGCGTTCAGCGCCGTAGCCGCGCAGGGGTTGGCAGTATTGATTGGGCGCGGGCGCCGCTAGGAGAGGGGGGTGGCAACGATCGATGCGCGCCGGGAAACGGCGCCGCCGGCCAGTCGGCTTCTGCGCAGCAGCCGAGAGTGATCGTTGCCCGTCGCTCGCGCATGTAGTAGGCCGGTAGCAGCCGCGTCGCGCACTTCGCTCGAAACTTCCAGAAGGACCGCCCGACGGCGCTCTTTCCCATTGTTCGGTGGCGTGGATGTGTGATAGAAGCGCGTCGCCCCACAGAAAGCCCAGTGACTCGTGACTGCGACTCGTAGGAGCCGCAGGAGCGCTCGCGCAGTACTGTCGAGAGCCAGCGTGTGGACTCGTCCCTTGTGTTCAGATGTAAGTTGAGTGGTCAAAGCAAGATTCCTACCGGTTTGGTTTCCTCAGTACGCAGCGAGCAGACCCGCACCACACCTTGCGTCGCCGCTTATGTAACGGGTGGTCGCTGCGCCCTATTTCCCGTGGCGACCCCGCCCTGCAGAAGGTCCGGCGCTGCGTCCGGCCTCCGCCGCCCACCGCCCCGCTCGGGCCCGACACCGCGTCACGCGCACGCAGCGCGCGCCGGGGCCTTCGCAGTTAGTCACCGCCGCTTTCACATTCCTTTCTGGCCGAGGCGGCGCGTCGCGCCCGGCTATATCGGGAAGCGCGCCCGCGGCCAGCGAGCGCGCGGGGGCCGCTGGCCCCGACCGGCCTTCGCCTCGCGGATCGCCCTACGCTCGCGCACGTTCCCGAGCACGAGCGTGTCGCGAGGCGCCGCGGGTCGATCGGTGGCAGTGGGCGCAAGCCGTGTCGGTTTCCTGCACGTACGTCGCCGCTTCGGTGGGGGCGCGCTCGCTGCGTATCCCGTTTCCTTCTGACGTAGAGCGTTTCCTGTGACCTCGCTGCGATTAGGGGCAGAGTGGCATACCACTGCGGACGCCTTTTTACAACGACGGTCTCTCCTCTGTTACAGTGAAAAAGTACCCACACCACCACCCAAATGTCCGTGGACAAGGAAGAATTGGTGCAGCGGGCGAAGCTGGCGGAGCAGGCCGAAAGGTATGACGACATGGCGGCCGCGATGAAGGCCGTCACGGAGACGGGCGTGGAGCTGTCAAATGAGGAGCGCAACCTTTTATCCGTCGCCTACAAGAATGTGGTGGGCGCTCGCCGCTCCTCCTGGCGTGTCATCTCTTCAATCGAACAAAAAACAGAAGGATCAGAGAGGAAGCAACAAATGGCCAAAGAATACAGAGAAAAGGTTGAGAAAGAACTCAGAGAAATCTGTTACGATGTTTTGGTGAGTACTTCCTCTTGCCTTGACTCGCGGTGGTTGTGAGTGTTTAAAATATTTGTGCCCTGAAGCCATCTTATCCAGAACTTCCGGTGAGTACTTATCCATTCATTTCTTTAGTCCCGGGGAATTGAGGCATGCGAGCATGGGCATCTCGATTGGTATAAACATGCTACCGTGAATGTGAAGATAAACTAATCCAGAGTTGTAGCTCTGGTGTACTGTCAGGCAGATAGTTTGCTTTTAGTGATGACGGGCATCGCGTTACGTTGAGTAGGCAGTACCCTTTAAAACGTGTATTCGTCTCTTTGTGTCACATGTGCTCGTGCCGAGGGACGAGAAGGGGTGGCGCTGCAAAGGGAGGGGGACCGGGCAGCGCGCGAGGGGCCAAGGATCCACGGGATGGGTCCCAGAGGACGCTCCGCCCCGGAAACTGGACAAACGCGCGGAAGTGGCCGGGGGCGGCTGGGCTCGTGAGAATGGGTGTCCCCCGCCTACCACGGGCTCCCGGTTGCGTAACGGCAAGCGACGCCGGTTGCAGCCTCTTATCGCGTGATAAGCGACTGCCCGGCGAGGGCGCGATCTCCCTCCTCGACCTAATAATACCGCATCCCGCGCGCCCACCCGCTGTTTCATCGGTGGTGTGGCGTGGCGTGATGTGACGCGCCGCCCGTGGTTGCAGGTGCTTACGCGCTCGCGTGACGTCGCTGGCGACGCGTGCGGCTTCGGTGGCGGCCGCTAGCCCCCGGCATTCGATCGATCGGAGGCGACGCGACCGCCACCCGACCTGCGCGCTTGACGCAGAGGCTCCGGGAGGCTGCGGGGTGGGTGCGGAAGTAGGGGGAGGTAGGGGCTGTCGCCAGAGCACGAGTTCGGAAGATCTCGCATCTTGGCGTTGCGGTACGTCGCGTTGGGTGGACTGTTGGACGACGAGGCGGGGCGCTGCGGGCCCAACCCAAGATTAGCCGGTTCCTGACGTCACCGACTGAGAATAAGCCGGCGGCGCCTGCGTACCGTGTGGTGTGCGGTTGCTCGAGTCGGCGCATGGCTGCCAACTGCTATGGCGGTGGTGACGGCAACGGCGGTTCGTGGCGGCGCGCCACGCCCGCGGCGGAGACTACGCAAGCTACGAACCGAAGTGCTCCCACCTCCGGTCATCGATCGGCTGCCGCCGCCCAGATCTGCGGACTACGCACTACCCCACCGCGCAACGCACTCTTTTAACTTCATGCGGTTCATTCGCCAGGCCCAGCATTGGAATTTTTCCCCCAAACGCGCACATCACCCTGATGCGCTCCACCGTTAGTGCTTGTAGGCTACTGCATAATGTAGGAACGGTAGCGACCATGGGCGGAGCGACCGATGCGCTTTCACGCGTTCGTCGAACAAAAGCTGCGGTCGCGGCCCTCGTTGGGCAGCCCTGGGTGCGGTCCGTGACTCAGGCGGGGGTGACGCACACGTACCTGTCGTATTGACATTCCATGCTGGCCTTTGCTCGCATGCCTGTCCCGGGCAGCCTCCGGTCGGTCCCCCTGCTGAGGTGTGCCTCAATTTTCCTTTTCGGAAATCATAAGTTTGCAGCGCACGCTGCACGAGGTAAGAAAATATATAATTGTGCCAATTTTGCAGCCGATGCGGAGTTCTGCCTTTTCCGCCTCGAGATTCCCAGCCTTGTTTTCCTGATGCTATTTGATTTCGCATTATCAAATTTCCCTCACCCGCTCTTGCTGTAAAGCCGTCGTCCAATTATGGCTAGATGCGACTTTCCTTTTAACCTGCGCTTCGGCTAGCGCCCCGACCGCCCTATTCCATTCCTTTTCCATAGACGTTAGCCGGCGCCCGAATGTATCCAGTACTTTGCTAGTGACACACGCATTTTCTTTGCAGGGTCTTTTAGACAAATACCTGATCCCCAAAGCAAGTAATGCTGAGAGCAAAGTATTCTATTTGAAAATGAAGGGAGATTACTACAGGTACCTGGCGGAGGTCGCCACAGGAGAAACGAGAAATAGTAAGTACTATCAAGGGTCGGCCGTCTGGGTCGCTTGCGACACGCGTTTAGCTGCGTCACGTCCACGAGGCGAAGCTGTGCCCCGGAATGAGTGGGTGGGGGAGGGAAAGCGCGCGTTGCCCTCAGCAACAGCAGCCACCGCCACGCCGTCGGCGGGACTATAGGATGCCGCGCGTATTGTCGCACAGATAAGCGCATCCGATAAGCGGCATGCCCGAATCTGCTGCGCCGGGAGGATGGCAGGACGGTTGGCGTAAATAAATGAAGACCAGCGCTTCACCTACGCATGCGGTGCCACGCGCTGGCAGGATACGACGCAGCAGCCGCGCCCTCGACCCGCCCGTTCGCCACGTTATCGATCTGGGCGGGCGGGTGGAAG